CTTGGCAACTGTACCGCTCATTTCATAACAGCTACAATTTAGAAGTAGTCTGGCATGACACGTAAGATTCCATGCATTTATCCCAGGGTAACGTAGAGTCCTTTGGATTTTTCACAGGACTCATTCATTTCCCTTTACAAAAATTATTCAAAAGTCGATCTTCGTAATTTTTTTTTTTACAAGACAGAAAACTTCTTTTAAAATATGAAAACTCAGTTATGGGCTGAGATAACCTTGCAAAAAGAAATTGTCACTCAAGGGAAAAATATGATTCCTACCTGGACCAAGTAAGTCATAAAAAATTTGAGATTAAAACCATTTCAAAAGACAAGAGTATTATCAGTATTAAGAGTTTATACCACAGCAGAGATGCGATTGTGATTTTTTTTTTAAGAAACAAAGGATTGGGCTGGCCTGGTGGCGCACTCGGTAGAGTGCGGCGCTTGGGAGCGCGGCAGCACTCCCGCTGAGGGTTCGGATCCCATATAGAGACCGTTCCGCTCACTGGTTGAGCGCAGTGCGGGCGCGACACCGAGGGTTGCGATCCCGCTGCCGGTCGCGGTACAGGCACGACACCGAGGGTTGCGATCCCGTTACCAGTCACGTAAAAAGACAAAAAGGGAAAAAAAAAAAAAGAAACAAAGGATTTATGAATATGACCTACTCAAATCAGATTTGGTGTGTGTGGCAACACATGTGTAAATGTGAAGTATTTATTACTTTGCCTAAGGAAGAAGTACGGAGGTACATCTACAGCTCACATTGTGAAAGGCAAAGATAACTCATCAGAGGGAAGCCTGTCTCAGCTACTGCAGGGTTCTGAAGGTGCAGGCAGGAGATATTCAACATGCCAGTCTCCCAGATGCACTCAGACTCCCAGCAATCATCACAAATGCCTCTGAAACCCCCAAACCTCTCACTTCCTTAGAGTCTCTCTGCCATAGACATCACTCAGCATGACTCTAAATCTCAGTGGGGCACCACGATTGGAAATCCAACTCAGTTGATGCTGCTGATGGAGTTATCTGTTATGAGCTATCATAATCAATGTTGTGAAAGCTGGATTCCCACTACCACATTATGGCAGAAATTAACAACAATCACTTAAGGTCTACAGTATTCCTAGACAATCTCTATGTGAGAGTGCTCAAGTCTACATCTCCAATGGGCCTTTCCCACCCTTCTGGAGACCTACATCTCTAATCAGATAGCAACTGGATATCACTGTCATCCCTATTTCAACTTGTCCAAAACCACTTTTCTCCTCTCCCAGATCATCTCTCCTTCCCAAATCTTTGATAAAATTGCCAGGTACCTTGTGTCATGTTGGGGCTACCCTTCTCCTTTTCCAGTCACGGGACTGTGTCCCATTTTCCATCAAAATATCCCATATCTGTCCCTTTCTACCACTTCTCACTGCCCCCTCCCAAGCCCTGGCTCTCATTGCCTGTCACTGCATTGCCCCTTCCTTGCTCCAGCCACTCTGAACTCCTACACATCCTGATCACGTAAACACTATCTTTTCCTTGTCATTCTCCCATCCACGCAGAAAACCCTTCATGGCTCCTTTTTAAATTATTTAACAAGGCTGAACTCCTTTCATTCTACCTAGAGAAAACTTATTTTCCAACACTTATCAGTATGTGTAAAGTGTGTTCCAATCAGCTAAAAATTCTCATTCCCTTTAAGTTCACTGTATTTCTTCTCATTAATAATGTTGTCCCTTGCTCCATTTTGTCTACCTCAGCATCAACTTTTGCCATCCTTCAAGACCTGTTTTGAGTTTCCCTTCCTCCATGAAGCCATTCTAGTATGCTAGCCTTCTTCATTCATTCACTCTTCCAACAAATATTCACTGAGGGCCCACTCCATGCCAGGCAATGGGTTAGGCTCTGTGGACTCAGAAGAACCTAAATGGGCATGGTTCTTGCTCTTGTGGATGTAATAGGCCCTCCTCCCTGAACTTGAGAATAGTTCTTTCATTTTCAGGTATGTTAACCATTTTTCATTAATTAGATGGAAGCACATTGAGGGTAGAGACCACATTTATATTTCTTCTAACATACTGGCAGGATCATGGTGGTCTCATAATATATTCTTGTCAATTGAACATAGGTCTTGCATAGGTTTGTAGGAAACATGAAGGAGCTTAATGGTGACAAATCTACCTGGGCCAAGCAGGAAAGGTCAACAGACAATAGACCAGAGCTGTGGGAGGGAGGAAGCCCCATGAGACAGAAACTGAGAACTGAGAGAGAGAAGCAGTGACCCTCTAGGGAACAATGAGGGCTCAGAGCTGGACATCCTCATCACAGAGGTTGTTCCAGCAGGACGAAATCTATTAGTCAAGGTTATTTTCCAGAAACTGTCTCTGCTCTAGAGAAATGAGAGGGTAACTGTGATGTGGTTATATGTGAAAATGCACTAAATTCCAAGTATCATGGGAAGCAACAGTGTTTTAATAAAAGGATCTCTTTTCTGTTCATCATTCTGAAGACAACAGTTCCAAATGGTTAATTTTATGGCATAATGATGGAACTGCAAGGTAAATGGCTGGCTTAGATGGATAAAGTGAATATAATCACAGAGCCTAGAACCCAGTGCACACAGAAGGGGATGAAGGTACAGAAATGGTCAAATACATTCAAGAGGGACACAAGTGAGAGAAGGAAGTACTTCCTTCCCACCACAGGGCTGCTTCTGCTTTCCATAATCCAAGGCATTGAAGAGATCAAACCCATTAGACCAGGGAGATGCACAGCAAGTTTGGTATTTTTATAGCATATGTATATGTATGTATGTATTTATTTATGTGTATGTACATATGTGTGTGTTTGCACATATATTGCTTCATTCTTTATTCTGCCACTATACTGATATATACCTAGTGGCCTTCCTCATACCAATTCCTTGAAGTAGCCTAATGAAATAATAGTAAATTAAACCTAAATTATAGTAAGAACCAAACTTGAGCTCATCAACTCAACAAATGCAAAGAGCAATTCACTATTAGTCAAGAATAGCCTTTAAAATGAAAGAAAAGAATTTATGATATAGACAAATTTGAACGGCTTATTATCAGCCTAATTAAATAAAGATTATCCACACCCACCAGAGTGGATAATGTTTATTAGAAGACTTGGTATAACTGAATCACTGTGTGTAGACAGCCTGTTCTTCAGAGCAACCTCCAGCTCCCAGAAGGCCTGGTTGTGAGCTCCCATCTTGAAATTGGCTTAAGAATGTGTAAAGACACAGCAGTTATTAGAGAGTAATCTTTTGTCAATGCACCTAGGATGATTCCTGCAACCTCTGAAAATGTATGAACTGTGAGATCATGGTTTCTCTTCCTAAAAACTCAGATCTTTAAAAACACTCCAGTGAAAAAAGAAATGGCAGGCATTGTTTTCTTACAGAACAGATGGGAAAACTGAGTCATGAGGGTGAGGGACAGTAGATGTATTATTCCCAATCCCACCAAGAAATGTGTCATAGCTGTTACAGTGTCAACTTCTACTCTTTCCCTCTCAATCCATACAGCTAAATCTTGATTTGTGGTTTTGGTCCTCTCAAGTCCAAAGTAATGGTGCTATTCCTTGTAGACTCCCTTTTTTCTCCTCTAGGTTGGATAATTATTATTTCCAAACTTATGTGGCATTTCTTTTACCATGAGTCATCTGTCCTCCAGCCCCCAACCCCTTGGTACTCCATCTGCCACCATCTACAACACCCACCTCAAAAAACTTGCTTCTTCTGTTCAGCTCATCCTAATGCTCCATTCGTCCTCAGATACAAGGATCACTCTTGTACTCCAGACCTCCTACTTTGCTTCCAACCTGAATCAGGCTCCTATAAACATCAACCACCTCCTCTAATCAGCCAGGTTTTGTCTCTTCCCTCACTGCTAACTCTTCTTTAATCCTAATTCCACAGAGAATATGCACAATAATGAAATGAGGAGAATGAAGACTCTGATTCCCCATGTATCCCTCTAAACAGCTTCCCTTTCTACAGATCATGCTTCAGGCCCAAAACAATCAGAAAAAAAAAAAAAAAAGAATTGCAAACAGACTTTTTTTTTTTCCCTTTTTTTTGGGTCTTTTTTCATGACCGGCAACGGATCGCAACCCTCAGTGTCGCGCCCGTACCGGACCGGGACC